TAGTAGTAGTAGTAGTAGTAGTAGTAGTAGTAGTAGTAGTAGTAGTAGTAGTAAAGTGTCTTCTTAATAGCGCCAAGAAGACAATATAGGCTGTACAATATTTATGTTTTTATGTGGTGTTCAACGAAAGCAACTTGCATTTGCAAATTGCATAATGTTCTCCTGTATGATCTTGATCTTTTTCTTTTGATTTTTTTTTCCAAATTAAATTAAAAATTAAATCTATTAAAATCGGGTTGTATCGTTGAACCCCGTGTTTCTCAAGTCCACTTTTTTTCGAATCGTCATCGTCATCTTCTTTTTCTTTTTTTGAGACAGAAAAAGTGAAACCTAAATTAAGCATTTTATCTTGATACACCGCTTCTAATCTTACGCATTACGTCCATAAAGGGTTCATAAACAAAAACTAATGGTTGTTATCTCGAGACTGGGAAAATCATTTCAGCGCCCCAAATAGATAAAGAAATAGGCCGGCGTGTTGACTGGAGCACGTTTGTGTGTTGTGTGGTGGTGCTTGTGTGTGGGCATTATGTTATCAATTCTGAAACAGCGTATTAAATGTGACCAGGCTTTTAAGATTAGTTTTTAAATATTTGGAATGTTGACAATTAGAAATACTTTGCCTCCAAACTTCTTCAAAAGGCAAAGGAAATAACACATAAAATAATATTTTCATAGGAACTCACATTTTTTAAAATAGTAGCGTAATACGTACATTTTGTCTAATAAGTTAAAAGGAATTTAAAAAGAAAAGACTTACATTTAAAACGTTTGCATCGGCTCCCCAGTCCAATAATGTTTTCACTACCTGCGGAGGCATAAGCTTGTTAGAGGGTGGTAGTAGGGAGATGTCACCAGTCAGAATTCATGTTTATCCATAAATAGAACCCTTAAATTACAGTCGAACCTTCCCATAACGGCCATTCAATATCACAGAGAAAAGTAACAGAGGCAGATGGCCTATGGACAGGGTCTGGATTATGGTCATTTGCTAGACTTGAAAAAGTTAAAGGATTGTTAAAATCTTAAATCTTAATATTATTATTATCTTTTTATTTTATTTCCATCAAAACTGTTGTCCATAATAAAAGCTTCTTTGTATTGAGTGAACCAACAAACCCAGTCTGAGGACGGGAATGGGGGAAATTTTGAAGTAAGTGAAACCTGGTTTACTGTATTCGAGGAATCTAAGGTTTTGAACTTCGAACCAGACACCATCCTGAGAACAACCTCGGCCTGCTCTCGCTCTCGCTCTCTCTCTCTCTCGCTCTCTCTCTCTCTCTCTCTCTCACTCTCTGTCTCTCTCTCTCTCT